GTCCCGCCGGGCCGGTGCGCACCCCGGGCGGGGGACCGGCGCTCGGCCCCTGCCCCCGCACACGCACCCGCCGGACTCCGCGCTGGAGCGCTCGAGGGACGTCGCAGGGATGGGGCCCCAAAACTGGAATCTGGTAGAACTTCTCCCTGCGTCCGCCCCCCCGTACTTTGTATTTCCCTGCAGCCCCTGCATAGCACGTGTTCGGGGGTTTTGTTGGTTTGGGTCTTTTTTTTTAAAGCAAAACATAATTTGTTCTGATGGTTTGGTGTTTTGTTTTGCTCTCGACTTCGGTTGGTTTTACTCCGGCTTATCGTTGCTTCTTAACTCAAGAATACACTAATTTCTAGATATACAGACCGTTAATTGACAGGAATTGACTGCCCGGAGTACCTTTTTTTTTTTGTAAAGGTAGCCCGAGCAGGACGATTCGATGGGACACTTCTATAAAACCCAGAAACTCCAGTGACATGGAAATAATTCCCGGATCACAGGTTTATTATCCCACCCTTCGCGCGACCTCATAGCGTGCATGACGCGTCTCTCCCCGGCAGCAGCTCCGTGGCGGGTGTCTTCCTTTGGGAAGGCGACAGATAAATATTGAAATAAAGAACTGGCCGGCTAAATTCCGGGTCCCGCTGCCGGTGCTGTAAAGGACCAGAGGACTTTCGACTCCACCGGCAGAAGGAGAAGATCCCGCTCTCCGCAGCAGAGTCCTTTTCCATTTACTTTCATGACAGAAACACAACTTGCGTCCTGGGATAAAAGCGAGTCGAGTAAGAGGGTATTTAGTGCACCAGCCCAGACAAAAAAACAATGCTAAATCCTACAGCTTTTGAATCTAAATCAAACCTTTAAAGGAATTCCAAGCCTGGCATTTGAATTCCCCTTTCCTATTACTGTCAAGCGCGTTTAGCCTTAAGTGGGCAAACGGAGGATCGGGTTTGTATCCGACCTTCTTTCAGCTTTGTAGCTGAGATTCTTTCAGATGCTGGAAGTAATTTGTTTGTATTTTACATTGCGTCACCTACAGCCTGGACTGAAATGGGGCCCGACCCTGGAAACTCACAGCCTTCTAACTCTCCGCATCTGTGGAAGAGACCTACCATCTGCTCCAGAGTTGTGACCCACGCAAAATCCAAAAGCGGGGCTCCCTCCTGTCTCCTCCGCCTGCCCGAGTGCCACCTCCCCACGGAAAGCACCAGCTCGGAGCCGAGCGGGGAGACCCGCACAGCCGGCGGGTCGCTATCGGCAGCGTTGCATCGTTTCGCGTGGTGACCTGGAGGATTTTCCAGGGGAAACAGATATTTTTCTGACAGTCTTTTTTTAAGTTGAATGCATTTCAGCTTTTTCGTACCAACAGTATAAGGAGATTTTTTTTCCCTCGGATAAAAGTAACAATGATTCTAAAGCAGAGTGTTTGCAAAGGGGGCAGATTTGACAGAGCACAAACAGATAAAGCAGACTAATCATGCCTGCCCTGGCCCCGTGGAAAAAAAAAAATGTTTTCCAAAAGTCGTAGGCACAGGGAAGAACGGATTGGATTTTGTTTGGAGTTTGCTGGTTTGTTGTGCCAAGTGAGAGAAGGAAAACGCTCAGACGAAATATTCAGGGGCAAATTCTTTACGGCTTGACCCAAAGATGCTGAATACAGCGGGATCTGGGCCGAGCTCCCGATCATCAGAAGCTTTATGGAGAATTCCTGCTGACAGCACTTCAGTGAACAACTAGACAAACACTAGTTTGTCAGTAACTTTATTTTTTTTTTTTTAAAAATCGCATGACAAACTGGAACCAAGACCAAAATACTGTATCCACTGTACATCATTCATTAGAAAACAAACATACACCACATTTGTATTCTACCAAACAGAGAGTGTATTTCCTTTAAAAGTATATAGTGCGTGCTTTTAGATTCATGCTTTTCAATATTTATTTTACATTTGTTACTCAAATATTATCTGTTATAAATAATTGCAACTTGATCAAATGGTGCACCTGTTATCCTGTGCGAACCTCTTCAGTGCTGCAAGTGTGGCTCTTTGCCGCCTTTTTTTTTTTTTTCCTCTCTTTCTTTCCAAAAAGCTGTTGGTATTGCTTTATTAGGACCCGAGAAAGCACATCTGAGGTGCCAAATAAAGTGTACAGATGCCAGAGGCGCTTGCAGACCCGGGACTGCTGCTGAGCCCCACGGCTCGGACCGCTGGAACAAGTGACGGGAGAGCACATAGAAAAAAATCGTTTCCAAAAGGCACAATTTCCTCGACACAAAGGTACAATAAAAATATATGGCCACTGCAATACGGGCGCCTACGGGGAAGCGGTGCCTCTCCGCTGGGATCCCGGGCCCGCCAGGGTTTCGCCCCCCTTGG